TTTTCTTCCTAGCAGCCAGCCATATTCTCTCCTTATACAATCCATTCTCTACCTTTAAAACCAAACCCTGGGGTCTGTCTCCCTCTCTGGTTTTTGAGCTGAGGACATCTTAGTTTCCTTTTTGCTGCTTCCCTCCTCTACCACAGTGGAGCTAGGAGGTAGGGGCAGATTGTCCTACTCTCCATTTCTTTGGGATCCCTGAATTTAAAGAGGGTCTTCCAGACATTCAGATTCACAAGGGTGAATCCCTACTCTTAAATCTTTTCAGTTTAGAAGAAAAACAAAACAGTCTTTGATCTGTGTTTGATCTCTGAGTCAGAAGACTGATTCTGGAGGCGAAGGACCTGGGTTCAAATCCTACCCTTGGCACTACTGGTGTGTAGGATAAGAGTCATTTAATCTCCTTGGGTCGCTGTTTCCTCCTCTGTGAAATGAAGGGTTTAAATTGGATGATCTCTCAGCTCTAGATCTCTGATCCTGCGATCTTCTTTAATACTTAAAAGGATCCATGATTTTGTTAGCGTGGGTCCTCCTTCCATTCATGCTGATTGCAGCCCCTTGACACTTAGTTGGTGGTCTTTCTGAGTTGCCTTGGCTAAAATAATCAATGATCCATGACCAAACAGGTGAGGAATCTTTGAACATCAATAGAAGGGTTCTTGGATGATGTTTAAGAGAGCCCATCTGCTGTGCCCACCCTTGCTTTTCCATCTTGGTAGTACTTGCCAGACCTTGCCTTCTGCTGGCCTAGTCTTTGAGAGCCCAGGATTACCACCAGACCAGGCTGAGTCAGGGAAGGAGGACTTCGGGAGAAGTCACAGTTGCTTCTTACTGCCGTTCTGGTTTATTCAGAGATGGGAGGTGCAGGCCAGGTTAGATTCCTTTTTAGAAGCTGCAGAAATCCTTGAATGTCAAGGCTCATTGGCATTTCCTTGTAACTGTGAAGAACGCAAAAGCCTGCAGGGATGTCGAAATGGTTGGAGATTGTAGGAGGGACTGACTCGCTGCTCGATGGGGAAACATGGAGCTCCTTATTTAGAATCCTTTAAGAAAGCAGAGTCGTGTCCAAATGTAGGTTTTGGCTTCCTAGACAGTGAGAAAGGTAGAGCTATGTTTTCTTTTATGAAAGCTTCACTTTTCAGAAGCATTTACTTTACTAAAAGCTTGAATTATCTCCAGGGATGAAATTCTCTTAGGTCCTCACAAACGTTCCTGGAGCGATTAGCGGTGCCTGGAAGCCTTGCTACAGCTCCTTCAGAATATCAGGACACTCACAAGGGCCATGTTGGACCAGTCCTACAGTCCATCTTTGACCACTGTCCAGGCCTCAAAGGGCTCGCTGGGGCATGGATGTCCTCACAAGGTTAGGGATGTCCCCTTGATATTCTCAATTCCTTTAAGTGTTCCATCGCAGAAAGGTCATTTATACATTTCCTGAAACCTTTTTGGAAGCTATGGCATTTCTCTTTTTAGCCTGTACAAAGTTCTGTAAGCCAGTTTTCATGGCCTTTTGTTTACTGTTTTCAAATTTACTGTTTTCAAACTTTAAGGAGTCCCCCTCCTTTATTTTTTTAGGATCCAAGGTTCATTCTGTCTACCTGACAGTCAATCAGTGAGCATTTATTAGCTCCTGCTATGTGCCAGGTACTGTGCTAGGTGCTGGGGATACTAAGAAAGGCAAAAGGCAGTCCTTGCCCTTAAGGAGCCTACAGTCTAGTGGTGAGACAACATGCAAACAGATATGTGCAATCTATGTACAAGATAAATAGGAAACATTGAACAGAGGGGAGGTACTAGAAATAAGAGGGATTGGGAAGAGCTTCCTATAGAAGGGGGGATTTTAGTTGGGACTTGAAGGAAACAGAAGGGCCAGGAGGCAGAGATGAGGAGGTAGAGTATTCCAGTCATGGAAATCCTTCCTTGTACATTTATAGATTGTTGTCTTGTATCTTCTTAACCTTTTGCAAGTCCTTGAATTTCTCTGGACCTCGCTTTTCTCCTCCATAAAATGAAGGAGCTGCATCATTTGGGGGATGACTTTAAAAAAAAAACAAGCAAGGTGGGAATATGATAGAATGTTATTGTCCACTCAGAATGGACAAGTAGGAGGAATTCAGAGAAATGTGTGAAGATGTGTATGAACTAATGCAGAATGAAATAAGTAGAAACAAAAGAATAGTAGACACTGTGACTACAATAGTTATAAATGAAAATATAGCTAAAAGGAAGTCAAATCCTGAGTAACTGAAAAATCAACAATGAGCCTAGAGAGAAGTTAATGAAATAAGGCCTCTTTCCTTTCGGCAGAGGGCAGAATGGTGTACATATTGTCAGATCTGGCATTGTAACAGGTCTTCACATTTGTTTCTTTGTTATAAGAGGAAGTTCAATGGGAGAGGAAAGGAAAGAGGAGAGGAGTTATTTCTTGGTCCAGAAATAACTATAATGTAAAAACAAAAGGCATCAATAACATTTATTTTAGAAGATGATAAAAATAAAATGAGGGGTCTGGGCCAGATAGATGATCTCTAAGAACCCTTTCAACCACAAATCCTGGGATACTTTGATACATGCTCAGACAGCATGGCTGGTCATCTTTCTCCCCTTCAGCTCCCAATCACCCAACATCCCTTGGTCACTATAATTGCCTTTCCCTGAACTATCTCTAACTCCAGTGTCCAAATTCAAATTCAGCCAGTACTTATTAAGCACCTATTATGTTAAGGTCCTGTTTTTGCCCTTGGAATACAAAGATGAAAAAAATGACAGTTCCTACCACTGGGTTATGATCTAATAAGACATTGTACAAAATGTGCACAACTAAGGACAATACAGGGTCAAATATGAATGGGGCAGAGGAGAGTCAAGGCAAATCATGAGAAATCCAAAGATAGAGGAAATGCCTTCACCTGGGATGGAAGGGTATGGTGGAGGTTGGCTCCTTGAAGGAGGTACATTCATCAGACTTGTTCACAGTTTCTAGGTGTGGTTGGACTTTTGATTGCTTTTCACAGAAAAACAGAGCGCATTAAAGGGGGCTGCCACACATGGACATTGTTTTGGTTGAGGGATGGGGTGGCCTTCTTGGTAAATATTTCATCCTCATAGGTCCACATGAAGTTTCAGGATCCCACTACCCACCATATTTTAGGAGGTGTTGTTGTTGCTGTTTTTAAATGTATGGGGTAGGGGGAAGAGAGGATAGCAGGTCACTTTATTTCCATCTTTTTCGTCAACTTTCCTATAGGCTATAATATGCTACAATAAACATTTACTGAACACCTACTATATTCCAGGCATTGTGCAAAGTGCTGGGATACAAATAAGAAAAAGAAAGACAATCCTTGCCCTCGAGGAGCTTACAATCTAACAAGGGAAGATAATACAAAAAAGGAAGCTGAAAAGTGGGGAGGTGGCACCAGAGGGTATCCTGCTTGGGGTCATGATGGTGATGGTGGCATTGAAACCGAAGCAGAGCAACTAGTGGAAAATTAACAGATGGCTAGAATTTTGAGCCCTCTGTAAAGGGAGGCTAAAGGAGGGGTTTGTTTTGTTGCACCACTGTCCAGACATCCAAAGGCTCACTCTGGCAGGAGTACAGAGAACAGGCTTTTGGGGACTCATGTCCAGTCGCCATGCCCTTGATAGTCGGTGTTAGTTATTCCCAGAAGCTTTGACTCTCCTGAGCTCATCTTGATTCTTTGAAATTGATGAGTGTTGTTAGAGAGAAAAGATCTAATTCTAGTCTCACTGGCCAGGGAGAGAGAGACCCATATTGTTGGCCAGTGACCTGAGGGGTGAATGGGCTCTGGGTTTGCATCTCCAGTTACAAGAACTCCCATCTACGTAGTTTACCAAACCTTTCCCTCCCAGCAGCCCTGAGGAGTAGGAATCCCACAAGGACTCCAGGTGATTTGGATTCTCAGCAGCATCATGTAAATCACTCTGGTGCAGATCACTCATTAGCTGGTGGCTCCAAGAGTTCATGGGATCATCAGTCTAGAGCTAGGAGGGACCTCAGAGGTCATGTAGTCCAAGCCTGTCATTTTATAAAAGACAAAATTAAGAAGCAAAGCTCCTTGTCCGAGGTTGTGCATGTTGTTGTGGCCAAAAATCTCAACTGTTTGGTGATGAGCCTCCGATGCCAGGCACACAGAGCACCAGATCCCCTTGTAATAAGACTTCTGTAACATAGGGATCTGTGATTCCATAGGTATTGGAACTTCCTGGGGAGGAAACTCACTCTATCAAGGCAAATCGACACCTTCCCCACAACTTATGGTTTTAGAGAGCTGCCTGAGAGAGGTTAAGTGATTTGCCCAGGGTCGCACAGCCAGTATATGTTATAAACAGGATCTGAATGTAGATGTTCTTGGTTCAGAGACCGGCTTTTCATTTACTATGCCATGTTCCTTTTCACTTCTATTACATAAGAAAACCATTTTCCTCCAGCAGTTGAAGGGCCACTTACTTCAAATGACAGTTGATACAACCCAATTCTAGTATAGCCAAAAGAACATGGATAGTCCTTTGGAGCTGGCTATGAAAAGATTTGCCCTAGAAGCACTTTCGTTTGGAGATCTGGAGCCCTGTCTATGGAGGGATGAAAGGTGATGGTCATTCCCCTGTGTTCATTTCCTTTGCCTCTCCTAAAGGAGTTCCCTGTAGTGCTATTCCTCCTCAAGCTACTCAATGCTTAATAAATGAGGAAGCCACTTAAAAGCATCTTTGAGTGTTCCTACATGGTGCATTAGTCCTGGAGTGAATTTTGTTCAATGTGTTATATAAATAAAAATTAGGTCGACTTGGCAGCCTATTCTTATTACCCTGCACAAGGAGAGGGATTACACTGTTGTGGGAAATGCTACCACAGTAAGAAAACAGACTTCACCAGTCTAGCTCTCACGTTAAGTATGTGTTATCCTGAGGCTGGAAAGAGCTTCATGTTGCCTTTTCTAGGTTACATCTCTGAATTGCCCTTGTTTTCTGTGTTCTTACAGCACGTCCAGAAGACTAGATCCTAAGGATCACCTAGATGGCCAGAGAGCGACTTCCCCGACTCCAAAGCAGGCTGCTGCTCATAGCCACGAAGGCCGCCGGGGGGAGGTGAGGACTCATGGACAGGCTGGCCCACAGGTGGATGGCCCCCATCGGACACTCCAAGTGGACAGCAGGATGCAGAGAACAGGCCGATCTCCCTCAGTGTCTCCAGACCGAGGCAGCACCCCAACATCACCTTATTCAGTACCCCAAATTGCACCCCTCCCAAGCAGTACCCTCTGTCCTATATGCAAGACAACAGATCTCACCTCTTCTCCTAACCAGCCAAACTTCAACACCTGTACACATGTCACAACAAGGTCTGCAACCAGTGTGGATTCAACCCCAACCCTCATCTCACAGAGGTAACTGCCACTGCTTACTTTTCTTATTAATAATTACTTTTTCTTATTAACCCAACAAGCTTATTTGTCTGCCCAGAGACTCTACCCTATAGGAGGAGGCTGCGCTGGCAATGGAAAGGGTGCCAGGCTTGGAGTCAGAGGAACCAGATTTTAAACCCCAGCTCTGCCACTTTGTTACCACCTATGTGACCTTGGCCAAGTAATTTCAGCTCTTCCCTGACCTCGGTCTTCTCATCTGTAAAAACGGGGGAGTTGAACTGGATGATCCCAAGGTCCTTTCCAGTTATAAATCTGTGATCTGAATTCAGTTGGAAATATCCACCAAGTCATGTAAGCTTATTGAGAAGGGCTACCTACCCGGTCTTCTTGACCATCACCCTCTTAATATATAAGGATAGGGACCGGGCCTGGGCCTGTGATCTCATTGGCATAGGGAATTAGAAGGCAAGGAAACTCCCTATACCAATGCTTTTGGCTCCCCAAGGCTCTATACCCTTGAGAGTTACCTAGAGCATTGTGACACTTGCCCATAGCCACACAACTAATATGTGTCAGGGGAGAGATTTAATCCCGGGCTTCAAGGCTATCTCTTGATCCACTCTGCCACACTGTCTCACATTGATTCTGTCTGTCTGTCTGTCTGTCAATCTATCTATCTATCTACCTATCTATCTATCTATCTATCCATCTGTCTATCTATCTATCCGTCTGTCTGTCTGTCTATCTATCTATCCATCTATCTATCTATCTATCTATTGACCTACCTTTCTATCTACCTTCTCTTTATGTTCCCCATCTCTCCACTACTGAGCATATAACTGGACCTTTTTGACCTACTGACTTTTACATTGTTCTCTCCTCCATCACACCTTCTTTATTTTCATCCGCCTTCTATTATCTTTTTATCAGCTTGTTTCCTTTTCCTTCTTACTAGCATTTCCATTAACTATTAGCTTTGCCTTTTTGTGGACAACAAAGCCCTGGCTATGGGCTCCATGGTTCCCAGCTTACTGTGGGTGAGTCCTGGCTGTGGAGTTCATGATCCCCACCTTGCTGTGGGCAAGCCATGAATATGGGGTCTGTGGTTCCTGCCTCACTCTATCTATTCAACCTCTTTTCTATCAGTGGAAGCATTGATCTCCGGAGTAGGGTTTTGCCCACTTCAAGGGAAGCTCATTTCAACTGAGAGTTTCTCATGCATTTCAGAATATGCTCAGAAATGTCTCTGGAGACGCAAAATGATGCACTCCTTTCCTAACCCCAAGCTAACTGTCTCTACTTAAGCTAGAGGATCGAGCTGGATGGGTGCTGGGGAGTTGTGGTGGTTTGGGGGAATGAGTGGATGGGAAATGGCCTACAGGGCAAGCTGGGCATTGGGAAGTAAGCTTCCCAGGAGGCTATGGAAGTACAACAGCAGTTGCTAGTTTCTTAGAGTAATGACCTGTGGTAAACCCCAGACTAGGAGGCATGAATTGAAAGGACCTGGGCATGCATTTAGATTCATTAGGCATCTGTTCTTTCTACCACATGACCCAAGCACTCTATCTGAGCCTGGGGGAACAGGACAAGCTGTAGTGTTGCTCTCCCAAGCAGGCAGGCAGTCACCTTTCCCACCTCCGAGGGAGTCTGCTCATAGGAGCTCAGGCACCACTGGGACTCCAGCATACTTCAGCCTTTCTCCGGAGGGTTCTTTCTCAGGAGAGGCTCAGCCAGCAGGTAAGGCCAGCTGACCTCGCTCTCGTTGAGGCATAGGCTCGAGGTTGGAAGGCTTGGCTGTCCCGTGGGCAGGCTCAGGACTGTGACACCCAAGGGAACCGTGGAAACTGAGGGATATCACAGCAGTAGCTTGCTTGTGATTCTCAGGCTATCAAGAGCAGAGAAATCCTTTCGCCTGGGGGAGTGGGAGATAAGTGAGAATAATTGTTTGCAAGTTGGTGTCTATTTGTAAAATGTGGCACTGTAGGTGTGTAATGTGGGGGGTGCGAAAGGTAAGTGTGAGATTCCGGGGGAAGAGCTGACAATACTGGGGGAGATGAGTCACTTTGTTCCTTTGGCTGAGCTCTTGGTGTGTGGGCTTTATTAAGAGAGGTGAGTGCACTTCATTACTTGGCACCAGTGACTAATTTTTCTGTGGAGGAGCAGTTCAGTTCTGCACACTGATCAGTTAGGTAAGTGCTTGCAACTCAATATTTGGAAAGAGCAGAGTCATTAGGGTCAGGAGGGTGTCGTTTCTGGATTTCCTCCTGTGAAATGACCCAAACCGTTAGCATTGTGGTAAGATATGAGGCCTAGAAATAGGCTGTGGCAAAGGCCTTGTGAAGCCCCAGCCTGAAGAGGCGGTGACTGGGATATCCTGGCCCTGGAAAACACAAGGGAGGGCAATGGCTGCCTGGACCACTTTGGGGCCGTTCCTTCTGTATGAACTCTAGCCCCACCATCCTGAGCCCTCTCTGGGCACCAGGGCCCTGACACTAGACCTGTTTTTTTGTTTTATTAGACACAGGGGACGAGTGCACCGTGTGTGCATGTGAGTGCACACAGGTGCAAGAGTTCTGGTAATGAGGCTTGGGCATGAGGGGCCGGCGTTTTAGTAAACACTAAATCAGTGGGCAAGTGTGCTGGCCCCTGTCATGTGCTGTTCTGTGGCCTCCTTCCCATTGACTACTTCTGATCCAGCCCAGCCATGCCAAAAGCTTGAATACCTGCTCCAGAGTATGCCAGTGGCCCCAGTCAGACAGAAGCCTGGTGTGCTTCATTCATTTATTCATTCATTCAGCGTCACACAAAGATGGCAGGTGGCAGAACTGAGATTTAAACTCAGGTCTTCTTATCCAAATGCAGTATTCTTTCCATTACATGATGTTAACTCTTATGATAGTGTTCAAATATCTGAAGAACTGTCAGATGGCAGTGAGTTAGATTTGTTCTGTTTGGCCTCAGAGAACAAAAGTAGAAGTTATGGACAAAAGTGGCAGAAAGGCATATATAGACTTGATGTGAGCAGAGAGTTCCTAACAATTGGAGCTATCCAAAAGGGGAATGGGCTCCCTTGAGAGATGATGGTTTTGCCCTGCTTGGAGATCTCCTTCAATGACTAGTTGTCATCAGTGTCATAGAACGGATTCGTGGGAATGATATTTTTCCCCCAATTACATGTAAAAACAATTGTTAACATTCATTTTTAAAAGTTTTGAGTTCCAGATTCTATCCTTTACTCCCCCCTTCCTGAGACAGTAAGCAATCTGATAAAGGCTATAAATGTGCAATCATGTAAAACATTTCCCTATTGGTCATTTTGTGCAAGAAACCTTGGTCAGAGCTTTAGCGCCAGAAGGGCCTTTGGAAGACATCTGGTCCAGTTTCCTCGTTTGGCAGATGTAGAAACTGAGGCCCAGAGAGGTTAAATGATTCATCCAAACTCACACAAGGTAATAAGCAGCAGAGATGAGAAATGAACTACAAAATCAGACTGGAGTTAAAAGGGACCTCATTCAACTATATGTGAAAAGAATCCCCAGCATAGTATATCCAATTAGTGATCATTCAGTCTCTGCTAAAAGACCTCTAGTGAAGGGGAACTCTATTTCCTGGGCAGTCCGCTCCCCTTTTAGACAGCTCTAACCATTAGGAGGATGTTTTTTGAAGTCAGCCCTAAATTTGCTTCTTTGGCACTTCCATACATTGTTTCCGGTCCTGCCCTGTGAGGTGGAAGCCAGGTCATCTGATGCCAAATGAAGTATGGGTTGGCCTCTGATGTTCCCTCTAACTCTGTGATTCTAGAATACTTCACAGAAAAGAAAGGCATCACAGCTCAGACGTATACCCGTGTTGAAGAAATGAATATGAGCTCAAGACTGAGAGCTAAAGGTGGGAGCCATGGAAGAGTAGCTTCAGGCATTGGATAAAAGAAAAAGGAATGGGAGAATAGGGACTCCTTTCCAGAACACTAAACACCATCAAAGGATATAGCTTTCCTGCTGTGTCTATTTATCCTTTGTTTCTCTCTCCCATACACTGATTCACTCCCCGAGGAGGTCAGCAGGAAGGCATATTAGAAGCATTCTGCATGCAGACACTGCCAAATCAGTGTGTTCTGGCTGCCCAGCTATGTGGAGGGAGGAGGTGTCATGAGGGGGTAAATCAGCCTTTTTCCTAAAATGTACCTTACGCATTTCACCTTGGACTCATAGGTATATCCTGTACTTTTTTGTGTCCTGGTTCTATAATTTCTTCTGTGTAGGGAATTCTGATTTTGGACATTTCCCTCCATTGATGCCAGTCAACAAGTCATCTGTAATTTACGGTCTTAAAAAGTTATCTGGGGCACTGGGGCCATAGGTTTAGGGTTGAAAGAGGAGTTCCAGGTTATCTAGTCCATCCTTCCCATTTTATAGATGAGTAAACTGAGGCCAAAGTAACTTAGACAAGTTCACACAGACAGTAAGCCTCAGAGAGGCAATTTGGACCTGGGTCCTCTAACTCCAAGTTCAGTGTTCTTTCCATCATATCAAACTGTCTCTTCCAAGGGAGGGCTTAAGTGATTTACCCATGGTCACAAAGACAGTATATGTCAGATGCAGAAACTGAACCCAAGTCTTCATGACTCTATGGCTCACCTTTCCTCTCCTATTCCGTAAGTGTCTCTTATCCTGCACTTAGGTAATAATGATGATAACTGACATTTACATAGAGGCAACTAGGTGGCACAATGGATAGACTACAGGACTTGGAATTTGGAAGGACTGAGTTCAAATCTTGCCTTAGACATTTACTAGCTGTGGAACCCTAGGCAACCTGTCTGCCTCAGTTTCCTCATCTGCAAAATGAGGATAATAATAACACCCACTTCCCAGAATTGTTGTAAGGATCAAGTGAGATGGTGTTTGTAAAGGGCTTTGCAAACCTTAAAGCTCTATATAAATGCTAGCTAGTATTATTAGTGCTTAATATATAAACGGCATATGGGTATAGTAATAATAGCTGACATTTTGCATGGCATT